AATACTTAATTAATCAATAATTCTAGTAAGATCGATATTCTAATCATTACATTACTTAGAGTAATTAGTGCACTTAGTTCAGTGAGTTTAGCACATTAGTTAACCAGCCTCAATAAGGAAATTCATTTTTCTAACAAAAATACCAAAGTTGCAATATAATTGACTATATTGTTGAAGATAATCAATTACATTTTTCTTGTAAGTGGGTTATATATCTCTAAACAAAATTTTTAGGATATTTTTTTTGAAAAGTACCATTTAAGGTATATAATTGATTGTACCCATATAAGTGCTTACGTGCCTTTAACCAAAAAAGCAGAAAAAAAAAAATAAAATAAAGTGCAAGTCATGGCTCAATAACTCATAATTTACTAGGATATTCCTTTTAGGTTTTTGGGCAACCGAACACACCCCTAATTTTGGAAAGTAAAACTCCTAACTAGCTTTCCCCTTCGATGGAAAGTTAAAGTTCTAATAAAATAACTAATTTTCTTGGAAAAAATGTCATGTCAACTTTTCTCCCAAAATATAGAAAATTTGACATTTGACAAAACTTCCCCATGAAGTTATAAGTTTTCTAATTTCCCAAATGAAACTTTTGAGAACTTCCATGGAAATAAAAAATTAGAAAGAAAGTTATGTTTAAATTATTAATTTTTTTTTGTATATTTATTTGGTAAGAAATTAATGTTATATTTTTTTATTATCTTTTAGAAAAACTTTCTTAATAAATGCTAATGGAGGAAAGTTAGGCGTTGTTATAGTCATTTATCATTTTTTAAAAGTTATACAATTTAATTTAATTTAATTATTAAAAATAATCAATAACTGATAAAATAATTAATATTTTATTTAATAGATTAATATTTTATAAATTAATATTTTCATATATTATAACTATTTTTTTTAAATACAAAAAAATAAAGTATCTACCAAACTAAATAATTTTTATATAACCTTAATAAAATGATAAATATCTATAACTACACTCACTAAAGTTCGTTGTAAAGTGGATTTATTTTTAGCTAAAGAGGTTATAAAATTTAGGTTAAATCTCGATTTTGATCCTTCTACTTTGACAAAAAACTCTTTTTTTAATTCTTCTACTTAAAAAAAATTCTTTTTTAGTCCTTAAAATTAAAAATTTGAAATTCGACCTTTTTTTAGTCTATTCGTTAAGTTTTGTACATATGACACGTTAAAGATGAAAATTTCATAGTAAAAGGACTAAAAAGGAGCTAAAAGAAGCTAAAAATAGCCCAAATTTGATCCCTCAATTTTAATAAAAAAACCCCTTTTTACTTTCTCTATTTTGAAGTTTTCGTTATTTAATGTTAAAACTTAACAAAGGGATTAAAAAAGGAGCCGAATTTCAAACTCTAAGGACCAAAAAGAGACTTTTTACTAAAGTAAAATCCAATGTCAAAACTTAACAAAAGGATTAAAAAAGGAGCCGAATTTCAAAATCTAAGGACCAAAAAGAGACTTTTTACTAAAGTAAAAGAATCAAATTAAAGTTTTAACCTAAAGTTTATAGTTTACAACCTCTTTGTTATCCGTACGCAGTGTTCGGAGGTTTGGTTCTCTTATTTTTCCAATTTTAAAGGGAAATATTTACTTGCCACAATATCCGTGAACAAATAAACAAAAAAAAAAAAAAAAAAAAAAA